TCCTAAACAATTATTTTCCAGGGGGTTGCGACATTCAGATTTATTACTATGCAAAAAGAAAATTCATTTCCAACTCAACATTCACAGAAGACAGCTCTTAGCCTCTAATAAGCTCTGTTGGTGGCAGATATTCTTGATAAACTGGCAGCTTTCTGCTCAGAGGTGGTAGCAGCAGAAGTAGAAAGTGCAGCAGTACCTTTCTGATGAGAGCAGAATGAATGGCTGGTGCAATTGAGATCATAGAATATTTGGGCTGGATGGAACCTTTAAAGGTCATCTAGTCCTTGCAATGATCAGAAACATCTTCATGCAGATCAGGCTGTACAGAGCCCTGTCCAACCCAGCCTTGGAAGTGTCCAGGGGTGTGGCATCTACCATTTCTTTAGGCAAACTGCTCCAGTGTTTAATCACCCTCATCATAAAAGAGGCTTCTGCAGTGTTAGGATTCTCCCCCAATATTCGAGCTGGTTAGATCAAAGACTGCCAAAATTTGGGTTGCTAGCACCCAGAGCAACTTCTGCTGCAGTGCTGAGCCCTTGCCACTTTCATGGGTTTTGTAGCACCCTTTGGGACACAGGCCATATTTAAGGAGCTCAGACAGATTCTTGTTTGATTTTTCTGCAGTACTAAGTAACCTCAGAAACACTAGATGACTTCATTGCAGCCAGCTGTTACTGTATAAACAGTTATTTAAAATACCGTGTCCTGAAATACCCATGTCTTGGTCCAGGGAAATAGACAGGTCCTATTGCTGCATAGCACCATATAATCAATAGGAACTGCCCAGCAGGTGACAAGCAAAGTGCCTCCTTGGAGTCACGTGGATCTAAACAGCCTTCACTAGAGAGCAGTGGAGAAGTGACTGTCAGCCTTCTACCCTTAGAGGCTCCCACTGGGTAGCTGCTCCTCCAGCATTCTCTCATGCAATCAGCTTTAGCTGACCATGAGGACTTTATTGGCATCCACATGCTGGCAACTTTTATTTCCAAGAGCAGTAGTAGCTATTCAGCCAGAGCTGCAGATTAGTTGGTGGCTCACCCTGCTGAAGCTGGATTCAGATCTCTCCTAACCCATTCCCAGAAAATGAATGGCTGAAACCTTTGTATTAGTCCTGCCATCTGCCTCATTTGCGTTCTATGCCTTAGGAGAGAAATCTTTGTTCCTTTCTCCTCACTGACAGTTTTTCTGGATGAAAGAAGTCCAGGAAGAGTGGGATCAAGCAGAAGTCATTCATGCTGTACATGCAGCTGTCTGCATACTCCCTGCACCTGTTTGCCCTCCCTATTTCTGGGCCTAAAAAATCCTAGGAATTCTTAATCAAAGGTTTATTTCTTTTATCAACTATCTCCTGACAGCAGCCAAGATGATAATTTGTCTTTCCAGAGGGAGAAGAGAGCTGGGTATGGTGTTTTCCTTTGTTCTGCTGTTCCCTGATCCATGGGCAGAGCTCTGTGTGAAGGTGTCCCCAAATTCTTCTTTGATCTGGGCCACTGTGCAGGCTGCTGCTCGGGTTCTGCTCTGCGTCTTTCCATGAGACACAGTGACCTACATACCTGTCCTTGCCGGTAATGGGTCATATCCTGCCTTATCTGACCCTCCCTTTTCAAGGGTGATAAAGAGAGATCTTTAATTATCTGGTGGTTTCCACCCACCAGTCCCCAAGTTAAATGTGGTGCTGCCCTCCATCCTTGTTTGTTTTTGAATAAGAACTAGCTAACGTAAAGGGTTCCCATCCAGGCTTCTCTGTGGAGTCTTAAATCTTAATCCATCCACAATCTTAACTAATTGGATTTGTTTGTAGAAGAAAGCTGCCTGTGGTTTGACTTTCTGCAGAAGAATAACAACAACAACAACAACAAAAAACAAAAAACAAAAAAAAAAAAAGGAGCTGAGGAAGAATTTCTTTTTTGCATGAAAAAGAAAATCAGTGGCCTACATGGTACTTAATATTCCTCTGCCCTTGTAGGTTAGTTATGCAGGGAATAAGCAGCATTACTGCAATGAGACACACTAATTTATTCCTTATTTCTGCTTCTAGTACCATTGCTCTAGTAAAACTTGGAATGTAAAATGCTTCTTCTCTTGAGAATAGCTTGTAAGTGCTATCTTATTTTTGCAAGCAGCGCTGATGAATTGGTAAACATAAATAAAAACACAAGTAGCCAGGAAAATCCAAACTCAAGAGAGTAACTCATTTTAGACCAAAGAGTCAAACTCAGGATAGCAATATATGTGTCCACTGATGACTGAGGAACTGTGCCCATCATACTGCTGGTATACTGGTACTGCCTGCTGCTATGCCTGTGTCCTTGGCTATGGCACATCTGCTATAGCTGCAAAAATTAGGTTCAGATGGCCAAAAAGCAGGCTTTAGCCAAAGAAACTGCACCCCTGTGAGCACTCCAACACTGCCCAAAATGCCACCACATCAGGAATGAAAAATGCTGCATACAGTTAATTTAGCAAGGTCTGTAGTTCACATATGTTTTCTGTTTGCTGCCTCAACCTCCCCCCAGCTGGAGTCGAGCAGCAGGCACCCAGCTGTGCCCAGTTATGGTCAGGGACAGGGAGGAGAGGGTTGGAGTTTAAAAACAGAGCAAGAGGTCAGCTGTTTGCCTTGGCTTAGAGATAGGGCTCTGCTTTTGTGCTCTCTTTTGGGTGGTTTCTGTTTGTTTTTTGTTTTGGTGGTTTTTGTTTTTTTTTTACTAATTCTGAAGGTTGTGAGACTGATTCTAGCTTATTCTACACTAAACGTGTACTGATGTTACATCACTGACTCTTGTTTCGTTAAGGTAAGGGAGCTGTGAGTCCTGTAACAGAAAGGGTCAGTCTGAGTTTGCTTCATGCTGTCTCTGTTCCCCTTTTTGATGGATACCAGTGTCAGGCACTGAGCCTCAGAGTAAATGAAGCCCTGCTGAGCATCAGAGACCTATTTGAAACCATGAAATTTAGGAGAGGGCTATAATGACATCATTTTTTGAGCTGTTTTTAGGAGTCTTGAAGATCACTGGTTTTTAAATTAATTTTGATTTAATGTGTTTAGGACCTCTGTGATTGATGGTGTCTATAAATATCATTTAAGCACACAATAGAATTTTTAGCATGCCATTTTCAGGAGGTGGTGAGCCAGGGTTGCTGCCTCTCTCCTGCAGCATCTTCTCTTGGCTGTGGGGTGACCCTCTGGGTGGCTTGTCCTTGGCACTGGTGATGTGATTGGGGGGCTCCTCAACATCCTTCCCCCCTTGTTTTGGCAAAGTTGTCCAGGGAGCATGCTGGGAAACTGAGGTACACAGGGGTACTGGGGAGGGTATCAGGGGATTTCTGTGCTCAGAGGACAGCTCCAAGTCATGGAGAAGGGCAGCAAACAGAAAACATTTGCTCAGAGGACAGCTCCAAGTCATGGAGAAAATAACCCAGAGGGCAGCACAGGCAAATGGGACAAGTGCCTATAAGCAAATAGCCATGGAAGGCACAAAATAGGATAGGGATAGGGAGGAAGAGGTAAAATCTGCCCCCATCCTCTGTGCCCCTTTCTCAGAGATCTTGATGGTGTTATTAATAATATTAATATTATTTTTAATATTAATATTTTTCTAAATATTATTTTCTTGGGGAAGGAGAGGGCAAGCATTTGGTAAGAATCTGATTATATGTTTCTATATTTAAGAAGGGAAGCTTTTTGATGCTGAAGTAGGAAAAAATAGTGGTTTACTGTATTAAATTTGGCAAGTACTTAGCGTAATCTAGTGATTAAAACAGTCTTTTCCTGGTATGCTTGTAAATCATAAATTCCCACTGCAGAATGGCTCCTGTGGCATTTTGCCCATTAACCTTTATGTGCTTTGATCTTGCTTTGACTCCAGGAGTTCAGGCTGTTCCCTGGCTTGTTTAGCTGTTGCTGTTAACAAAACGCTTGCCGCTTGAAATACACAGTGCTTAGCATCCATGTATTTCTGAGCCTTCAGGTCTCTGAGCACATGCAATATTGATGCCTTGTGGATCATAGAAAAAACCTGACTCATTAGTGAGGAGATATTAAATAAACATCCCCAAAGAAAGCAAACAAGCTTGGGCATTACAAAGACTATTTTTCAGCCTGCACTGCGCTAGCAGAGGCATAGGAAATGGGAGCTCAGTGAACTGCATGGAGGAAAGAGGAATCATGCAATATTCACGTGGAGCCAAGCTTGCAGACTGGCACAGCAGTCAGCCCTGGGGTGCAGCTGGGAGGCTTGGGGACCTGCTCTGCCTCCTGTCCTGCCTTTCCCAGAGGCCAGATGCTGAGGATGGGGCTTGCAGAAAATCCTCCTGCCTGGTGTCTGGCAACAAGCAGGCACAAAGCACAGCCTTTCTGCAAAGCACTGCAACCATGATGGCTAATGCATGCACAAGTCCATCCTCATTCCTCCTGGGTCTCATCCAAGTTCTGTCTTTGGCTTACCCCTTCTCTTTTCTTCACCTTGTAAGAGTGTAATATATGATATTTACCTTTCTCTTTCCTTCCTATAGGCAGTTCTGAGGCCAATGGCCAAAACCACTAGTTAAGATAAAAATACTTGGAGATAAAAAACTTACCACAAGCATTAAGCATTCTTAAATAAGCTGGATATGTATTTTGCAAGCTATGTGACATTTATTATTTATAACTAATGACTATCTGATAGTTTAGAAATATGAAAGACAATTTGCTATCCGTGTTCAGAGACTCTGAGTTCACATGAGTCAATCTCAGTCTGAAGTCTAAAAAAGGTCACTTTGCAATCTGTAAGCAGCTTTAAAGTCTTCATGGGCCTTAAAGCATCAGGCTTAGCCAGTGTGGAAAAAGCTCTCTGGAGCAAGGTAGCTCAGACAGCAGAGAGCTAGAAAAGGGAAAAAGCTGATAAAAGCCAGCTCCTGCTCTTGATGCAGGTAGAGGAAGAAGAGCAGTTTTTCTAGAGGCAAAGCATGCATGTCTATTTGTTACTGCTTCAGCTAGTGATTCTCACATTTATTTGTTCCAGGCTCACCTTCACTTGGTCAAATGGAATGCGTGACTTTGCCTCATGGCTATTGAAACAATCAAACCTGTGAGTAGTACTAACTCCACAGAACCTTGTTCTGTGTCCTGTCTCTGTCATTGTGGCCTACATTTCCTACCATTCAGCCACCAGCACCTGTTTGCTGCTGCTTTTCACTTAGCCAAAACATGCTACAGGAGTCCTTTAAATTTGGGGTTTCTTTCCATTCAAAACTCCAGTACTCACCCATGCAAAAATGTGAGAGCCCAGATCTCTCCTGTAACCCAGAAAATGCCAGAAACACATTGAGATGTCTCTCAACACACATTAACTCCCTTTCCCTTCCCCATACTGAAAGGTGCAAGCATTTCACATTTGTACAGAAGGTGCCTGAAAACACAGTCCCTCCCCAGGACCAGTTGCCCTGTGGAGAATGTAGGCAGAAACCTCTTTTGCAAACAATGCAAAAAGTTACTGTCTGCTGACTCCCCACAGCAGCACCTGCTCGTGTGTGAATTTGCAAAGTAAGCTTCCCCTTGCTCCATTAGGGTTGAGGCAGCAGGAGTGTTTCCATGAGAGATGGAAGATGAGCCACGACTGGGGTGAATGGCAAGTCACGAAGCTGGAGCTGGGGCAAAGCTGGAGGCAGGTCAGTCTCCCTAGACCAGCACATGGATCCAGGGTGGAAAAGCTCATCCCTGCTCATTTGACACAACCACCTTTGCTTATACATCTACTAGCTCCCTTCAAGTGCAGTTTCCCCCATGCTGCCTTGCATATATAAGATGATTTGGGACAAAATGCCACCTTGCCACCTCCCTCCTGGCTGCCCATCCTTTCTTTAAATGCCTTGCCTGGTTGCAAAGCTGGTGTCAGCTGTCAGCATTGTACTGTGACTAATGTTCATTTTTTTGCACAATAGAATGTTTGACTTCTTATTACCTAACTTTGGCCTTTTTGCTGTCTTCTAATTTTCCTATTTATTTCATACATCCATTGCAAGTGATTAGCTCTTAGAAGTAGGAATTGCTAGTCTGGTTTCCTCAGGAAATAGGGTGATCATGTTCTGCACATCCTCAGATAAATGTTGAACACACCAGTTGATTTAATTTGGCTGCTGGAGAGTGGGCTTAAAGCTAATTGAATTCCTGTAAGTTTTGTATGAGCAGGCAGCCAGCTGGAGCAGAGAGGAACCCTAGAGTCACATGCCAGAAAGAAAAGTAGCAGATACATTCTATCTTAGAAGATACCAAAAAATTCATAAGGGAGATACAGTAGTTAGGCACCAAAAAAAGTGCCTCTGTTTGTACCTCTAAATAATCATGAGAAACAAACCCATAAGAAACCTGGACTCTTCTAGCATTTATTAAGTTAATTTTAGGTTGTTTGCACTGTGATTGGGACATCTAAAACAATAGTTTTAGATTCCTGAAAGGGATTTTTAATGTGTTGCTATAGACCATGAAAAAACTAACTGTAATAATACTGATAAAGGCCGACAAAGGAAATCTAATCACCAAAAGTTCATCTGGCAACTGGAGGGCACAAAATCTCACCCCACAATTTTGGGGTGCTTTTGCTGGCAGCAGATTCTCAGCCCTCACCCACTCCATTCCCCTTCCACAGACAACTTAAAATTAGTCAGATGATGTGTAATCCCACAAGAAATGAGCTGGCTTGGAAATGGCAAGTGCTGCATGGAAGCCTGGCTCCAGGTTTCCAGCTCCTGACTGCTTACACAGCAAAGTTGATAAGGACAGTTCTGAAATCAGTGGGATGTTTTGCATGGCAACAAATGCCTGCCCAGAACGGGACAAAAGGGAGGATTTAACCACAGATTGTCTCTTTTATTCTGTAAATAGGCATTTTTCCATGGTTAGGCAATTCCATAAAAAATAAAAGTTAATAAAAATGAAAAGGCTTGTGCAGCAGTTGGCTGACAGGTTTCATGCAGTAGTGCCGTGTTACAGAGATAAACATCAGTGCTTAGCTTACAGATTGTCTCAACACCTGGAAGGCTGTTATAGAGACAGGTTTAATAATTAATTGCTATTTCTCTGAGACAATGTACCCTGGATCTCTTAAGGTGCATATTGCACACCAGGTAACAGGAGGAGTAGGCAAAAGAGACAAAAGCATTAGAAAAGATAAAAAGACTGAGATCAAATGACATTATTCTTCATGTCATGGTGGAAATGAGTCTATACTCAGCTGATCCTGCATGGAGGTTGCCTGGAGGTGTTTTGATATACTTGAGGTCAAAATACTTGTGTTCCAAAGTTGCTTTTAAGTAAATGATTCTCATACAGCTGGTGGCAGGAAAGAAGATGGAAACAGATAAATTCCTTCATGTTAGGTTTGTGTCATGTCACCGTGCACGGCTGAAGATAGTGAGGTGTTGTTTTATAACCAGAAAAATATGATATCTGCAAGTGATGTTAGTAGGTCCCTACAGGATAAGTTTTCTGTATGTAATATATATTTTTCTCATCTATGTTTAGCAGTACATTTTTTTTGTGCAAGATATAAACCTAGCAAAATTGAATGCTATAGTGAAGGAGGAAATAAGAAAAAATATTAATCTGCTAGGCTCCTTAATGACCACAACCCAAACCACAAACCTGGACTGTATCCTAGCAGCAGAGAAGCACTAACATCAATTTCTTTCTGTGCCCCAGGCACCTCCCATGTCAGTTGCCATCACTTACTATGACTGGGGGCCTGTTTGCTAACATAGGGGTACTGAGAACAAAGGTAGTGGCAGCTGATGGCACAGAGCTGCACGTTCTGGTAGCAGTGAAACTCCAGCACTGAGTGTAATCTTATCATGCAAGCTTGTTTCACCAAATGTATATGTTTACTGATGTGAGCATTCTCATCTTAATGAAATTGATTAAATGAGGGGAATTATGAGCACATCTACAAGGACAGGACTAACTGCTGATGCCTGCTGTGCTGGGTTTAGGCTGCTGGTGATCAGTGTATCTCTTGTCATTGAGCAAATCCTGTTGACATCCTGGGCAAGATGCAAATCCTCTCTTTCCCCAGGTTTTTATTGCTGAGGAGGATCTTGATTTCAGTGAGTCAGATAGTGTTCTTTTGTGAACATGTCGGCTCAGATGGCTTTGAAAAATATGTTTCCTTATGAATTGAAGCTGGCTCTCAAGCTTCTTTGGTAAGCACAGTGCACAAATTAAAATACTAATCATGGATCTGTGTAGTTAAACTACTTGTACAGATGGATCTGATGCTGTTGGTTGCATTTTCCTATTGCTACAGCAAAAGGAAGGAACTCCTGAGCTGGAACAGGGGTTTAATAGAGGAAATTATTTGGGAATGCAACGGCCTCTCTAAGAGACAGTTGCTGAGGAAAAGCTCTGTTGGCAAGCTTCCTCTTGGTTCTTGTCCAGATCCTCAAGGTATAAGTCATCCTGAGCCAACTGAAGAGTACTTTTATACTACCTGAGTTTCTTACCCTGTGCTTTATCATCATTTCTGGTAGCTTTCATCTGTTAATGTGCAAAGAAAAACCATCCTAGGCTGAAACACTGCATTTATCAAACAAGTCTATAAACCTGTTTTCCATAAGACTTTTGAACTAATTAATTTTGCCTGCCATGGAGATTTTAAAATATATAATGGAAAGTTGTATGTGAAGAAGCAGTAGAAGCAAGACTGAAATGGGTTTGTGGAGATGAGGGAGTCACTCTCCTGGTTTCGAAAAGCAGCAAATAGGTTGTGTGGTTTCATAATGTCTGGGGTTTTAAGCAAGCTCTGGAATGTGAAATTGTGAAAATTTGTAAAAATTGAACCCATTTCAATTTTGGTTCCATCTCAATAAACAGATTTTTTTCTATGTCTCCCTCAGCTAAAAGGGCTGGCATTCTTACTATCCACCACTGTTCCTGCACTAGCCACAACATTCAGCATTTGCTGAGTTCTTTACATATTTCCCCTGTTGCAAAAATATTATCTAATTAAATCTTCCAGTTCTTCTACCGTAAGAGCAGTCATTAGAATTGGCTTTACTTTATGGGCAAGAATAAGGGAGAAGTGAGAGTTTAAGTGACTGAGCCATAGCAAATTAGTGGCAAAATTTGGATGGTGCTCTAGATTTCTGTATATCTTCTAAAGACTCATGAAAATTATATCCCTTAATCATAATCTTGAGCTTTCTCTCTAATAAAAAAAAAAGAGGACTGGTGTGCACTTGGATCTCATAGGTAGTGAGATTGCAAGTTTCTGAAACTGATTTTTTTTCTTCAAAACTCTGGCATTAACTGTGAGGCACTGGAAGAATGTTAAGACTGTTGAGTTTTCATGCATAACTTCGCTGACTTTGGAGTAGTCAATCCATAGCAGAAGGAGTTCTGGGTCTTTGCAGGTCAGTGTTTGCCAAGCACACCACTCCTGATGGAGCAGTGGGGGCAGCCGCTCCGTGGTGTGGCTGCTTTCCCTTCGAGGCACACGGTGTGTGTGCTGTGCCCCATGAGCAGCATGGGAAGGGGAGGATGGACCTCCTCGGTCCTGGCAAACCTACCCCTCTACACTGAGCCTCCAGGATGGGAGGGCTTAGGAGAAACCAGCTTTGTGTTCATTCACGGCTCTCACCATTCCTACCAGATCGTGGCTTTGTGTCACACGTGTCCTTGGGAGGTGGCTTTTAATGGGTGCCAGACTCAAAGCAAAGGCTGGGTTGGATTTTCTGTGTTGTCACTCATCTGACTCAGCCATTGGCATGAGACTCTGCATCTCCCTTATCTGAATCACAGCTGCCCTGTGTGGAGGTTGGGCTCCTCCTTGCATCCTGAAACAACTGGTAACTACATTAAAACAAAAAATGCTTCAATGTGTGAGGGCAACCTTTTCCAAGAACCCAGTTCTGTGAAACATGAACTTTTAAAGTTTGATTGCCACTCTAAGGCCATCTGTATTTCACATGGAGTCTTGTGCAATGATTCACTTTTTACTTGGTTGTTACTGATAAGAAAGGGCCCTCTTTACAATGTGATTTTCTCTGTGGAGTTTTCTAGGAACTGGAGGCTAGGTGAATAATTTTATTGGGACAGTAAATTCTAAAGTAAAGACTATGTCATTCTTCAACAAGACTGCTTTCTGAGATGACAGCACAATAAATTACAGGTGTACAGCAAATTCCTAAATGCAATCAGTTGACTCATTGTGCTGGGTGGATGGAATAAAAGCAGTGGCAAAGGGTTGGGTCACTAAAATCATGTGGAAGTTTTACCAGTGCCTTAAGTCAGCGGTGGATGATCCACTTTTGAAGAACAGTTGAAGCTAAAAGCTCACATTGAAAAAACTTTCTTTCGTCAAAGACAGCTTCTCTGTATGCTTTTGACAAAAAACTCTTCCAATCTACTCTATTTTAAAAAGTTTACCTTGCAGGATGAAGCCATTCACCTATTAAGATTTTCATCATTTTAGTCATAGGGCAAGGGGGAATGGTTTTAAACTGAAAGAGGACAGAGATTTAGATTTTAGGACGAATTATTTACTGTGAGGGTGGGGAGGCACTGGAACAGGTTGCCTGGAGAAGCTGTGGATGCCCAACCCCTGAAGTGCTTAAGGTAAGGTAGGATGAGGCTCTGAGTAATTTGGTTTAGTGGAAGGTGTCCCTGGCAGGGGGTCTGGAACTCAATGATTTTTAAGGTCCCTCCCAAACCAAACCATTCTGTGATTCAGACTTGAATAATGGTCAGTGTCTGAGGCTTCAAACAAAAGAAAGGAAAAAGGTTTTTTAAAAGCCAAAAAAAGATAGCACAAGAGATCCCAAATGTTTGCTACCTACGTAATGATAGGGACAGGAAAATTCTGCTCTGACCCTTGATCTTCTGCTTCCATCTTGAAGATTTGCTTATCCCTACATTTGTGACCAAAATGGATGCATTCTTGCATAATAAAAGTACGTGGCCTCTTCCATTGCTTTTCAGTGCCCTGAACCCCAGCAGGAATGATATAGTTCATTAGGGATGCAGTGGGAGTTGTAAACTGCTAGGCTTGGAGGGAGAGTTGGAGTCAGTAATCACACCATGTCCCACTGCATTTATCCCCTGTCATACATTAAATCATGGATATAAGTCCAGCAGGGACTGTTGTGATCATCCACACTGAACTTCTGCTTATGTTGTATAATTTAACCTTCTCTCCTGCATCGGACCCAACAACCTGTGACTGCACAAGTATGTATTTTAAGAAACACCATTAATCCCGATTTAATCATGTCACATCATCAAGAATTCTGAAAAAAAAGCCAGCTTTGGAAAGCTATTCATGGGATTTTTCTAAATGTAACCAGGAGTTAATTAGTATGCCCAGAGTGAGGATGGAATTTATTAGCTAAGGCCAGGGAACAGAACCAGGTGAGCACTCTCCCAGCCTATGCCATCAGTATAAAAAATCCTTCCACTCCAATGTCCATAGGACGTTCTCAAGCAAATTGAAATGCACAATTTGTCTTTCTTAAACTAGTGGATGTTAGTTTCATCAAGTGCTCCTGTAGGTGGGGCTTCACTGTGGGGTCTCTCACTGCTCTGGACTATGTTCTAAGGTGGAAAGATGCTCTTTAGGGAACTGACAGCCAATGTAAGACTAGGGTTCAGAAATGCTTAACTGAACTTTTATTGTCCTTTAAGTGCCTGAACAATTAAGCAGCTGTGCTGCAGTCTTCTTTAACATGAAGCATTTTGGATATGAAGAGGCAGGGGACACAGCTGCTGGCTTCTAGGTTTGACTCCCTAGTTTGTAATATTTATACTTTTGACAGAATTAACCATCATAAGGCAAGTTGAATGCAGGGCAGGTACTGACCAGAAAACAGAAATCTATTGGAACTCTTTCTCTTAATCAAGCAAATTTCCACTGTTTCTTTGTAAATGTGTCATAATTTAACTCATTGACTTTCTAATCAAATGTAAACAGACACACTCCTCTCTGTCCTTTTAAGGGGATATAATGTATGTTCTTAAGAATTTGGGCCACAGGTTTTGAAAATAAAATCTGCTTAGTGGCCTAGATATTAATAAATCTGCTAGCAAATATAAAGAGAGAGAGACGAATGACAGATGTGCAGATGCAGTTAGGAGGAATTGTTACAGGCATGAGAGTTGTTTGTCGCTGAGTGTGCTCCCCTGCTCACTCAACGCACGTGCAGTGTGCTCTCTGTAGGGTTTCATGGGCACTGAGTGCATTTATTCTGAAGTCCAAGTAACAAGTGTTGAAGATCTTTGATACCAAAGCTAATAAGAAAAGAAAGGGGGAAGGAAAGCAGGAAACAGCTATCAAAGTCACCATGTATTTATTATAATCCTAGCTTGAGAAGCACTGAGCTTGCCCTAACCCTGCCACTGAGGTCTCCTTGACAAACCTGCAGAAGCAGCCAGTGTGTTATGCTTGTGGGCACTTAGTTTCTCAGACATGGAGGCAGTTTTAGTGTCTTAAGGCAGGTACAGTATTTTAGAAATTTAACAAAACCAAAAAAACCCCCAACCCAAACCAACTAACCAAAAAAATCTCCCCACAACCTAAAGCAAACTAGCAAAACCCCAGCCAACCAAAAGAACCAAAACCCATAAACCAAAAACAAAACAAAAAAAAGCCCCAAAGAACCTCAAAAACCCCCCCCCAAACAACTCATGATTTTACTAATTTAATTATTGGTTAAAGGTCTTTGTCCAAAGCAGCAGCTGAGGCACTCATTTTAAACCCCAAATGTTTTTCACACTCGTGGGTTTGAGATTAGATTAGCCCACCGTCTTTAATATATGGGCAAGGGTTTTTAATTAATTTTTTTACCTCACTGTTCACAACACTGAAATATGTATTATTCCTCTATGCCAGCTTTAGCTTCTGGTAATGATACTGGCATAGTCTTTTCACAGTCTTTGAGTGTTTACTGCAGAGAAACCTATTCTGAACCATTTTTTCTACTTCTTGGTTTCTTTATGGTTACTGATTAGGTTAAATCAGAAGAGAAAAAACCTTTCCCATACTTCATGGGCTTTGATGAGCCATAAATTTAGACTCGCATCATACTTGGAATGTACTGGGAGTGAGGACTGATACGGGCAAGGGACTGTGAGCCACAAGTTTCCTTTCCTTGGATTAATAGTGATAGTAACATAGCGATCACTATTGAAAAAATAAACACCCTTAAAAGTAAGCCGTCATACAAAATGCATGTATCCCTACAAAATAACACTAACTCAGTCACATCAGGCTGTATGAAATGGGGTTTTGTTCAGAGACTGCCTCCAGACAGTATAAGGAATTCACTGTATTTATCTGATTACAATTCACTCCAGGAGCAAGTAATTTATTGTATTGTAAATCTGGCCACCTCCCAGCAGTGAAAGCCTGTGCTTAGAGGAGCCCAGCTTTCCAAAGGACTAAAAACCTGAGCTGGCATGCTAGTTCTGACTAGGGTAGAGTATTTGCCTTCCTTGGAATTAGACTCTATGATCAAATTTTATCATTGTTTCATCTGATGAAGCAATATATAGCACAAAGATTGTGAAATAAACATGTTTAGTAATTTAACAAGCTGCAAACGTATTGTAAGATTTGAGCCAAAGCCCACTATAGTCCATGGAGAGGAATGGTTTCTGAAACACAGCTTGAATCAGAAAGGGAGTGCAAAACAGCGGAAAACTTTAGGAAAAGAAGAGCAAAGCAAAAAAAGCAGAATAAAGTCATGGGCTAATCAGCACTATGTCACAGCTCTCCCTCTTTAATCCCAATGTATGGTGGACACTATTTGTGTTATTTTTTCATGTATTCTGCATGGCAAGGCCACAGCTAGGAGCTTACCTGTTTCTGGAAGGGAAGCCCCTGCACTAAGAGCTTGACAA